GGTTTTGATTTTTGTCCTGTCCTGCCGCTCGCCAGGACAGAGCTGGCTAACAGGACAGGGCAGGACAGGACAAAAAATCTTGTCCTGTGCTCATCTCTGATAGTGCAGTCTTTCAGATCTATCTCAAATATGTAAACTCAAGAAAGTCAGCTTCTATGGTAGCCTGTTAGATAGCATTTTTCATGGACTATAAACTCGTATGACTTTTAAAATTATTAAAAGTGGATCAAAAAAGTCAAGAACCATACTGTAAAAGTAATGTAAATATTTCGCATGTATAATATAACATAGTTGACTTATTATTTCTCTTAAAATCAGAAGAAGCGACCTTCTATCATAACTCGTCAAGCGCCATTTTAGATGAACGACAGAACTCTATCATTTATTAAATCAAAAACGTGAAATCACTATCATGCAATACGTGCATACTGTTTTAGTAGCTCTTCAACAAACGCGATATCATTTCTATTCACTTTATTCTTTTCAAAAATCAAATAGGACATGAAATATGATAGACAATTTATATCACCACCCGTATCTAGGTTACCTGAAGTATGCTAGATAATTGCCTTCAGACTATCAGCTACGTCACACTAGCAGTCACCACATTTGAGAGTGAGGTGTAGACGCGAATGTGGGCGTGGAGAGTGGATGTGGCTGTTCCATTTCTCAAAATGCCCACACGCCCACACGCCCACACTCACATCCATCTCTTTGACAGAGATAAGGAAGATTCCTGCTTTTTTTGCTCATTGTAGTGACTTCCAATATTTCAGACGATGCCCGATGGGCACAGAAAGCGGTGACTGTTGCTGGAGGTCATGGAGAAGGCAATGCCACCAATCAACTTAACCACCCTCGCAGTCTCTTTGTTGATGATAATCAAACAATAATCATCGCTGACACTGACAATCATCGTATCATCCAATGGAAGATAAATCAGACGAATGGGCAAGTGGTAGCTGGCGGTAATGGTCAAGGAAATCGATTGGATCAGTTAGATCGACCAACTGATGTATTAATCGACAAAGATACATATAGTCTCATTATTTGTGATCTAGGAAATAGACGAATCGTGCGATGGTCTCGTCATAGCGGATCTACTCAAAGAGAAATCCTTATCGACAACATCGCTTGTCGAACATTGGCCATGGATGATCAGAAGTGTCTCTACATTTCTGACGCCGAGAAAAATGAAGTAAGACGATATCAAATAGGAGACAAGAATGGAACTATAGTGGCTGGTGGCAATGGCAAAGATGATGGTCTCAATCAACTCAATGATCCGTACTATATCTTTGTCGATCATCAACAGGCTGTCTATGTGTCAGACAAAGACAATCATCGCGTGGTGAAGTGGAATAAAGGAGCAAAAGACGGAATTATCGTCGCTGGAGGTCAAGGCTATGGGAGCGCTCTCGCACAATTATCGTATCCTTACGGGCTGTTCGTCGATACAATGGCTACCATCTATGTATCGGACTCGTCGAATAGTCGAGTGATGCGTTGGTCTAACGAAGCGAAACAGGGCACTGTCATTGTGGGTGGAAATGGTTACGGAGAAGGAGCAAATCAATTCAAAGGTCCCGCCGGTTTGTCCTTCGATCAACATGGCAATCTCTATGTCGTTGATCATTCGAATAATCGTGTTCAAAGATTCTCTATCGAATAGTCTCATTACGGTGGATTAATTTGTTCCTTGTCGTTCTGTCAAATAAACCATCTTAATTTATTACAGAAATCGTTATTCTACTAGCGCGTGCGACCAACAACCAACCTGGTGGAGCAGTGGCAAGTGCCAGGCTCATATACGCACGGGACAAGCTTGAGTCGTTCACATTGAGATGGGAGGGGGTGTAGGTATGTGGGGTGTGGGGTGGGTGTGGATATTGGGTAGGTATAGGTGTCAGTGTAGGTCCTGAGTCAATTCAAAAAGAACGACACCCACACCCATCAAATCGTTCGTTTGAATGTTTAGCGTAATTTTCGCCAGCTTTGATCACAAAAATGTTAACATCACCGCCACCTTCCATTTCGATCACAACTTCTTCAATTATAGAATAGAGAAAGATTTGGTTCCGTTATCTCGGTTATCTAAGAAAAACGAAAACTTCTTATTTCACATCGGCTGCAGCCAAAATGTGCCTTTGATTCAGGTAAATATTAAACGATGCATTGTGCTGGTTTGCCACATGATGAACTCAAAAGAAAAGCTTTTAGTCTGACCTCTGTCAACCCATTACTGTTGATCGATCGCAAACAAAACTTGTAACAGTTCTCGAGTAATTGCAATTCTTCGATGATATCTTAGAAGAGAGCATCCGTTTATTTTAATTGAACAGTACTGTACATAAGTTAATACCATAAAATCTTTCAAATGTTTTAAGTTGACTTCTTGGAAATCGAGTCTTGCCATTTCTTTTTTTTAAAGAATCGTCATCCATCCTCTAACTGACACTAAATTATTTTAGAGAATCATCGATGCCCTAAAGAATCAAATCTTCTCATGATCGAATACAGACTTTGATCAGTCTCAGATTTTATTTCAGAAATGTTTTTTCATCTGTATTCTCTCAGCTAGATTCTGCTAGGTCGAGAGAAGGCAGCGAAGCAAATAGTGGCGTAGCCACGACGAGAGCATGCGGGAACATTGCTCCGCTGTTAAAGTTTTTGAGATATCAGAAAATGGCACAATTAATGTTGGAAGTCGATGGACCAGTGGCGGTAGTTGATGTGGGTGTGGGTGTGGGTGTGGGTGTGGGTGTGGGCGTGGGTGTGGATGTGGGGTATCGGTGTGGATGTCGGTGTGGGTGTGGGTGTCGGTGTGGGTGTGGGTGTGGGTGTGGGTGTGGAGTGTGGGTGTGGGTGCGGTTGTGTTTGTGGGGTGTGGGGTGTGGGTGTGGGTGTGGGTGTGGGTATGGGTGTGGGTGTGGGTGTGGGTGTGGGTGTCGATGTGGGTGTAGGTGCGGGTGTGGGTGTCGATTTGGGTGAGGAGAAGATGCAAATCCACACCCACACACCCATACCCACAGATCCCGGTCATATACGATTCAGTCGAGGGTCAAGCGAATGGTAGCTACGAGCATTACTTGTACTTAACAACTGAATATGATCTGATAAAGCAGCTACACTTTTATCAAGTGTACATTTCAAAAGATATTGATGTGTAGCATTGTGATCCATAGGATTCTAGATCCAGAAGCGTACCAAACCAATTAACTAACCTCCAGCTTATCTAGATAGCGTGAAAAACAAGATAATAAAGAGCATGCCTATACAACCGTTATTAAACATTACTTATTTACTGAATTGAATTTAATCAAAAAAGTCAAAAAAAATCAGTTTAATCAAACAGAAATCAGAAATCAGTTTTTTCACTCTTGACTGTTCTTCTTTTTGTGCTAATAAGCCAAACGTAGTATTCGAGCTTCTAATTTGACAGCGCAACTACCACCACCTCTCCACCACGACAGACCTGTAGCTGTGGCTTCTAACATGCCTGTATCCTTATTGGTTGCTGCTTCCAAATTAAATACATGCAAATTTTGTTTTTCCTCCAATAAATTAATGACTGCTTCTGATTCTTTAGCTTTTATAGCAGCATTAATTGCTGACTGATATTGATTCTTTATTACTTGCTTATAATTCAATAATGTATTTGATGCATATGTTTCAGTACGCCATCCACATCTCCAATTGTTTTCTGTTTCAACAACACGCGTTTCTAATATTTCACCACCTACTGTGGCTGTACAACGTTTTACATCATGCTTTGTTCTCCTACTAGTACTAGCAACACGAGCTTTGACTGTACATAATGTTACCCATTTATCACCATCTTCACCGTTTGCTGGAATTTTTAAGCCAGTTTTAGTAAGATATCTTTGTGCCACTTGCTCATATTCTGAATTACCGTCCGCAAAATGACGATATAAACAACTATAAATCAGTAATAAACATGTAATAGCAATAGTAAATTTCATTTTTGTGATCTATATAACAAGATGAAAGTATTATTTTGATGAATGATTTTTTCGTTCGTATATATAAAGGGTGTCTCAGAAGTTCTGAAGAAATTTTAAAATGCGTCGTTCTCGCTTATAATAAAAGCAAACTCTTTGAAACTTTGGTATATTATTATACCTACTTAGTACTAAATAACTACAAGGTTTGAGATCTATGGTTTTTACTATGAATGAGAGCCTATAATAACACTGACATGTACTATTTTTTCAATTTTCCAGTAACTTAAGAGAGCACTCCATGAGAAAACTAGGCAACTGAAGTCTCCGTCAACTTTTACTTTCTGAATTCGACATGCGCATCTGAATCAGCGATATTGAAAACTTCTAAATCCAAAGTTTCAGCGCATTTGCTTCAGTTGGTAAATAGTTGAGTCCTGCACTACTTTTGAGCACTCATCAACTTTTCGAATTCGAACTTCGATGAATTTTTTCATAGAAGTTGATGTGTGCTCAAAAGTATTGCAGGACTCAACTTTTTACCAACTCAAGTAAATGCACTGAAACTTTGGATTTAGATGCAAATATCGAATTCAGAAAGTAAAAATTGATGGGTACCTCAGTTTTCTGCTTCTCTCATGGAGTGCTCTCTTAAATTATTGGAAAATTGAAAAAATAGTACATGTCAGCGTTGCTATAGGTTCTCATTCATAGTAAAACCCATAGACCTCAAATCTTGCGGTTATCTAGTACTAAGTAGTTACAATAATCTGCCAAAGTTTCAAAGAGTTTGCTTCTGTTATATGCGAGAACGGTGCATTGTAATATTTCCTCAGAACTTCCGGCACACCCCTTATAGGTGTATAAATAAGGAACTGCCTCATATGCTCGAGACGATAGTGAAATCTTTTCAAATGTATAGATAAGAGCATCATATTTCCTATGGCTTTTTTGTAACAGTAAATACAAAAATGTCATAGGAAATATGATGCTTATCTATAGGTTTGAAAAAAATGCACATCATCGTCAAGCATATAAATTCGCTCCTTTTTCTTGCACAATATAAGGATGAGGATGTGAGTGTGAGTATAAGAACCACAATATGAATAGGTATTTCATTTTTGCAATAAAAGAAGACTATCAAGTGGCCAATACTAGTATACAAAGATCTATTCGATAGAGAATAAGTAGTGCTCATCCTGCAGATTCACTGACCCTTTTCTGAAATATAGAAAGTTGTTGCTGTATTTTAAGGGGACCCTTTCCAGGATTTTTATTCAATGGCTAGGCAAAAGTTTATGAAACACTCAGAGTAGATAGATCTCGACGAGTGAAGCATAAGCTGCCAGAGACTCAAAATTCTCAGATGCCCCCTTGCAGAAGCTTTAGGGGTTACAAGTAGTGATCAGCGGAGTCACACTTTTTGATTCTGATTCCGACTCCGAAAAACTCCGAAATATTTTTTGTAGCTTACAGATAATATTTGACTTATGTCAATACGTAGCATCCTACATGGATAAAAAGGGGTGGGTGTGGGTGTGGGTGTGGGTGGATGTGGATGTGACTTTAAATGAAATCTGATACCAACACCCACACCCACGTAGAAAATATCAATAAATATTTGAAAATATATTGTTTATTTTCTTCTAATAAATGTAACAATTCTATTTTGGTGCAACCAACTTATGGAATAATTAAAGAAATATTGATTTGTTTTCGCTCGTTTTGTCTCTTACCTTCTTAATTTGTAATTGAATGGAGAAGACCAGGCAATGATATGCTACGAGTATTGCGGCTGATGATCAATGGAAAATATAAAGGCAGAATGATTCATAAGTATCAGTTTTATTCTTCACCCGGGATCAAATTATTTTTAATGAACGACTAACAGTATCGCCGAAGAAAATATCCCCATTATAATCATGTTACAAATGGGTAAGTCCAAAATTAACTTGATTATTTATGAGTTATATAACAACAAAAATTGACGTCCTGGTTTACTTTATACACAGTGCTCTTATGTATTAATGCTATGATTAACACACTCTCAAAAATAGCATTTCGTGAGGGTGTTCACTGTATCTAAAGTAAACAACTACTGATATTTAATTATCGTTTAGAAAAATAGAATTTATACAATAATAAAAATTTCGAAAAAATATTGTTCAGTCGAATATTTAAACAAACTTCATTTCTATTTTGAATAGATATTTCAAATAGAAACATATTAATGTCACTATAGTTGATTGAGATCGTCTGAAAATGTCTAAATAAGATCATCTGAACAAAATCATTTACGTTTTAAATAAACATTTTCCTAACGCGGTCAAATGAATCCAATGATTTTTTAATGAGTTGATCAGATTCGACGTATTAAAGTTTGTCGTTTTATGCAAATCAATTGCAATTCATGTATCAATAAACATAAATGTTTATTATTGTCATCCTCATCCTCAAAGATTGTGACAGTGGTATCGTCAAACTTAAATTTTTTTTTTTATGCTTACAAATTATTATATGAGAAAACTAGAAGTTTATAAACAAATCTAAAATAATACTGATTGAGTTTTAACTGAGAAATCAAATAGAGTATCGATTATATACAGTATTGACTTTAACGGATTTGTTAAATACTTTTATTTTCAATTAGCAATATCGGTTATTACGTTTGACATATTTTTATCTATCAGAGATTGTACTAAAAGTTTCCTATCAATTTTTATTGATTCGAGTGTGGATATGAGTGTCCATGAGCAGAGGACTCACAACACACTATCAATTTCTTGTTATTGACATAATTATATTGCAAAAGTTTCATTTGAAAAAGTATTAAAAACTATTCATTTATATCTCATATTAAATATTTTCTTTTCATCATAACACGAAGGCTAAAATTATCTGCCATTTTTTCTTTGAGATAACAAATTATTATTGTATTTCATTTATCAATGCCAAAAGAACAAAGTCATATTGTTAGATCGTCTTTTTTTGATCTTCCGAACATCTCAAATGAGGGCAATCGTCATCGAATTCATCTGCCAGATGTTGTTCTTTATTGAATTCTGTAACGCATGATTTGATGTTGTTTATAGAGACTTTTATGTCAATGAAAACAACTCTCGAACTTGTTGATAAAATAGTCTTGTTCACTTTCAAAACTGTGCATATCGAGATGGATTTTGATTATCGAACAGTTTTATTTCAATAATAAAAAATAAAATTATGCATTTCTATTTCGAGAACTAATTCTGGCACAATTCTTGCGCGTATAGAAGATCGACATAGAAAATACTCAAGTATTTTCAAACATAATTTGCAACTTGTTACTTAGTATACTTTTCACTTTAATGCAAAATTTAAAGAAAAAAGAGATGACGAGTGTTGATTTGATCGAAAACCGTGGTGCCGAAAGACTAAATGTGATGCTGCAGTCTTATAACATTGAATTGTGTTTGACCAACGATTGTGGTTCATCGTTCTTCTTCATTATTTTCCTTCTATTCAAGTTGCAGGTTGTGAAATAATCGTCTTTCCTGGTCCGTATATCAACACACTCAGTACGACTATTGCGAAAGTATACAGAGACACAGCAAGAGATTGTTTGATCAAGATTCTTAACTTTCGTCGGGCTGTGGGTACCCCATTTCTTCACACCTACACCCCACACCTACCCACATGAGAATTCATTTTTGATTAAGCTCATGATACTATTATTGTTAGATAGTTTTTTTAATAGACTAAATATTTTGCACATATTGATCGATTTTTTTTTATTTGAACTTATGTACTAAACAAAAAGTTATCTATAGATTTGAGATTTTTCACGTAAAATTTCTCCTACTACAATGAATATTAAATCTTTGGAAGAATCTTATCATAAAATCTACAGAAAAAATTTCGATAACATCATTTTCAATAATAGTTTTCTTGAAATAATATGGTGTGGGTATGGGTCAAGCAAGGACTTAAACCCATACTCACAGCCGCCCACACTACACCCTTCATGCCTACTTTGCTATGTTTCTCTATTTCTTTCTTCTACATCTTAGAACATTTGATTTCTTCTGTGCACGCAGTTTGAATTTTCAATTTGAAATTCATTGTCCAGAACTACTGTGCATGTAGAAATGAAATGAAATGTCTGCTAGATAAAATAAATGGAATGAACTGAAATATCTAAAAAATGAGATACCATGGAAGATTGATGAAGATGAATAAGATGCAAATGTAAAAAAAAGGAATAATTGTCATTAGCTTTACTTTTTATGTACTCAATAATTGAACAGTATTATAGTTATACATTAAGAAAGTATCAAAGTCTTCCTCGGACCAATTATAAAAAAAATACCAATGTATATTGTAAAAAAATTATTTAATATTACCATGTTTATCTAATAATTGTATAATAGATTTATTAATATAATTACATAATAAAGTATAAGCATTTCTTGTATTATCATTAACAAATAAGTCTAATGGCGGTTGATTAAATAATAACTGAGATGTTATAAGTATACATAATTGTTGTGCACGTGTTATACTAACATTAATCCTTTGCCGATTATAAATAAAATCTAATTCATTTTCAAGTATTTCACCTTGTCTATATAACATACAAAGTATAACACATTGAGCTTCTTTGCCTTGCATTCTTTCGACTGTATCACATGTTATTTGAACATTTGAAAATTGATTATTCTTAAGTTTTTTTTGAATAGTAGAACGTTGCATTCGATGCGGTGTTATAATAAATATTGATGAAAGTGATATACGTAAAACAAGTTCATTAATAAGAGAATGAACAAGACGTGATTCAAGATCAAGATCTTCACTACGAGTTGAAGATGATGATGAATCAACAAGAAGTGTATAAAGAGAACTAAAAGGTTCAAGAAGTGAACCAAGAAGATATGTATTTGAATCCTTAATAGCACTAATAGACAATGCAGGTCTTGAACGACCTTGACGATAATTTTCACCGTATAAAAGACGAGTAAAATCCGATAATTGATCATTCATACCTAAGAGAAACAATAATTAATCATGAAAAACAAAAAAAAACTGAGATAATTAAATAAACTTACGATGATTTTCATTAAAAANCAGCAAGTATATATATATGTGAGAACAAGGAAAGGTGAAGAATTCTGTGGAAAGTGAAAAGGTCACCAGAAGAAAGAAGAAGACGAATACACACATATATGTATAGAACAAAAGAAGATATAGATGAAATACATATGACGTCGTGACAAAGAACGGCAGAGATGATACACACATGATGGTGCTACTTAACAAAATATAAAGGTAGAATGATTCATAAATATTAGTTTTATCCTTCACTCTGGGTTAAATTATTTTTAATGATCGACTAACAGTATCGCCGAAGAAAATATTCCCATTATAATCATGTTAGAAATAAACAAGTCAAAGCTCAACTTCATTATTTCTCAGTTACATAACAAACAAAATTGACGTCCTCGTTTACTCTAAGCACAGCGCTCATATGTATTAATGCTATAATTAACACACTCTCAAAAATAGCATTTCATAAGGATGATCACTGTATCTAAAGTAAACAACTACTGATATTTATATATCGTTTAGAAAAATAGAATTTATACAATAATAAAAATTTCGACAAAATATTGTTCAGTCGAATATTTAAACAAACTTCATTTCCACTTTGAATAGATATTTCAAATAGAAATATACTAATGTCACTATACTTGATTGAGACCGTCTGAAAAGATATAAATAAGGTCATCTGAACAAAATTATTTACGCTTTAAAGAAACATTGTCCTGGATCACATTTTCCTAACGCGGTCAAATGAATTCAATGATTTTTTAATGAATCGATCAGATTCGATGTATTAAAGTTTATCGTTTTATACAAGTCATTTGTAATTCATATATCAATAAACATAAATGTTTATTATTTTCATCCTCATTCCCAAAGATTGTGACAGTGGTACTGTCAAACTTAAAATTTATTATTTATGCTTACAAATTATTATACGAAAAAACTAGAAGTTTATAAGCAAATCTAAAATAATACTGATTCAGTTTTAACTGAGAAATCAAATAGAGAATCGACTATATACAGTATTGACTTTAACGGATTTGTTAAATACTTTTGTTTTCAATTAGCAATATCAGTTATTACGTATGTCACATTTTTATCTATCAGAGATTGTCCTAAAAGTTTTCTATCAATTTTTATTGATTAGAGTATGGATATGAGTGTCCATGAATCAGAAGGCTCACAACACACTAAACAATTTCTTGTTATTGACATAATTATATTGCAAAAGTTTCATTTGAAAAAGTATTAAAAACTATTCATTTATATCTCATACTAAATATTTTCTTTTCATCATAACACGAAAGCTAAAATCATCTGCCATTTTTTATTTGAGATAACAAATTATTGTTTTATTTCATTTATAAATGTCGTAAGAATAAAGTCATATTGTTAGATCGCTTTTTTCGATCTTTTGAGCATCTCAAACGAAGGCATTCGTAATCGAATTCATTTGCCAGATGTTGTTCTTTTTTGAATTCTGTAACACATGATTTGATGTTGTTTATAGAGACTTTTATGTCGATGAAAAGGACTCTCGATCTCATTGATAAAATAGTCTTGTTCACATTCAAAACTGTGTATATTGAAATCGATTTTGATTTATCGAACAATTTTATTTCAATAATAAAGAATAAAATTATACATTTCTATTTCGAGAGCTAATTCTTATACAATTCTTACACGTATAGAAGATCGACATAGAAAATACTCAAGTATTTTCAAACATGATTTGCAACTTGTTACTCACTATACTTTTCACTTTAATGGAAAATTTAAAGAAAAAGTATCGATTTGATCGAAAGCCGTGGTCCCGAAAGACTAAATGTGATGCTTCAGTCTCATAACATTGAATTGTGTTTGGCCAACGATCGCGGCTCATCGTTCTTCTTCATTATTTTCCTTCTATTCAAGTTGCAACAAGTTACAGGTTGTGAAATAATCGTCTTTCATTGTCCATATATCAACCACTCAGTACGACTATTGTGAAAGTACACAGAGACACAGCAAGAGATTGTTTGATCAAGATTCTTGACTTTCGTCATCCTTACAGGTAATTAACATTGACGAAGACGGTACATGTGCTCATCCCATCTTTTAAGGCGTAGCCAAGGTATTCATTTTTTTCTTAGATAGATTGGAAAATGTTATTATATGGTCATAGGATGAGGAAGATATTTGAAATTCTTTGAAAGAATAAAAGGTTTGTTGTCGATATTGTTCATGCATAAAAAAAAAGTTGTTTGAAATTCGAATTCATCGATGAGAGAGTGGAGCTCACTTTTATCTATGATAGAGAAGAAAAATCGGAGTGGGTGTGAGTGTGTAGGGTGTGAGTACACTATTTCTTCGCACCTATACCCCACACCTACCCACATGAGAATTCATTTTTGATTAAGCTCATGATACTGTTGTTATTTGATAGTTTTTTTAAAAGACTAAATATTTTGAACATTTTGATCGATTTTTTTTTATTTTGAAGCAAATGTAAAAAAAAGAATAATTGTCATTAGCTTTACTTTTTATATACTCAATAATTGAAAAGTAATATAGTTATACATTAAGAAACTATCAAAGTCTTCTTCGGATCAATTATAAAAAAAGATACTAATTTATATTGTAAAAAATTTATTTAATATTACCATGTTTATCTAATAATTGTATAATAGATTTATTAATATAATTACATATTAAAGTATAAGCATTTCTTGTATTACCATTAACAAATAATTCTTATGGCGACTGATTAAATAATAACTGAGATGTTATAAGAATATATAATTGCTGTGCACATGTTATACTAACATTGATCCTTTGTCAATTATAAATAAAATCTAATTCATTTTCAAGTATTTTACCTTGTCTATATAACATACAAAGTATAACACATTGAGCTTCTTTCCCTTGCATTCTTTCGACTGTATCACATGTTATTTAAATATTTGAAAATGGATTATTCCTAAGTTTTTGTTGAATAGCAGAACGTTGCATTCGATACAGTGTTATAATAAATATTGATGAAAGTGATATACGTAAAACAAGTTCATTAATAAGAGAATGAACTAGGTGTGATTCAAGATCATGATCTTCACTACGAGTTGAAAATGATGATGAATCAACAAGAAGTGAATCAAGAAGATATATATTTGAATCCTTAATAGCACTAATAGAAAATGCAGGTCTTGAACGACCTTGACGATAATTTTCATCGTGTAAAAAACGAGTAAAATCCGACAATTGGTCATTCATACCTAAGAGAAACAATAATTAATAATGATCAACAAAAAAAAACCTGAGATAATTAAATAAACTTACGATGATTTTCATTAAAAATAGATAAATATGGACAACGTGAAATTTGTTCAAATGGTTTTTCAGTATGTAATGATATTGGAAAATTATTTTCATCACGTAATAAACAATGAAAAACAGATGAAAATAAGTCAGGTATAGAATGAGGTAAAGGTGGATAAGTACAACGTTTAACAGGTGGTAATTGTAATGGATCACCTGCAACAATCATTCATGATTCTTGATGATCAGCTAAACGATTAATAGCTAATACAGCATCACTAGTTAATAATTGTGTTGCTTCATCNGTATGAATCTTTGTTTGATCATTCTTAAACTACCCACGTAGTAAATATCAATAAATATTTGAAAATATATTATTTATTTTCTTCTAATAAATGTAACAATTTTTTTTGTTGTAACCAACTTATGGAATAGTTAAAGAAATATTGATTTGTTTTCGCTTGTTTTCTCTCTTACTCTCTTAATTTGTAAATGAATGAAGGAGATCAGGCAATGTATATGCTACGAGTATTGCGACTCATGATCAATGGAAAATATAAAGGTAGAATGATTCATAAATATTAGTTTTATCCTTCACTCGGTGTTAAATTATTTTTAATGATCGACTAACAGTATCACCGAAGAAAATATTCCCATTATAATCATGTTAGAAATAGACAAGTCAAAGCTCAACTTCATTATTTCTCAGTTACATAACAAACAAAATTGACGTCCTCGTTTACTCTAAGCACAGCGTTCATATGTATTAATGCTATAATTAACACACTCTCAAAGATAGTATTTCGTGAGGGTGATCACTGTATCTAAAGTAAACAACTACTGATATTTATATATCGTTTAGAAAAATAGAATTTATACAATAATAAAAATTTCGACAAAATATTGTTCAGTCGAATATTTAAGCAAACTTCATTTCCACTTTGAATAGATATTTCAAATAGAAATATACTAATGTCACTACACTTGATTGAGACCGTTTGAAAAGATCTAAAGAAGGTCATCTGAACAAAATTATGTACGCCTTAAAGAAACATTGTCCTGAATCACATTTTCCTAACGCGATCAAATGAATTCAATGATTTTTTAATGAGTCGATCATATTCGACGTATTTAAAGTTTATCGTTTTATACAAATCACTTGTAATTCATGTATCAATAAACATAAATGTTTATTATTTTCATCCTCATTTCCAAAGATTGTGACAGTGGTACCGTCAAACTTAAAATTTATTGTTTATGCTTACAAATTATTATACGAAAAAACTAGAAGTTTATAAACAAATCTAAAATAATACTGATTCAGTTTTAACTGAGAAATCAAATAGAGTATCGACTATATACAGTATTGACTTTAACGGATTTGTTAAATACTTTTGTTCTCAATTAGCAATATCAGTTATTACGTATGTCACATTTTTATCTATCAGAGATTGTCCTAAAAGTTTTCTATCAATTTTTATTGATTAGAGTGTGGATATGAGCGTCCATGAACCAGAAGGCTCACAACACACTAAGCAATTTCTTGTTATTGACATAATTATGTTGCAAAAGTTTGAAAAGTATCATTTGAAAAAGTATTAAAAACTATTCATTTATATCTCATACTAAATATTTTCTTTTCATCATAACACGAAAGCTAAAATCATCTGCCATTTTTTATTTGAAATAACAAATTATTGTTTTATTTCATTTATAAATGTCAAAAGAACAAAGTCATATTGTTAGATCGCTTTTTTCGATCTTTTGAGCATCTCAAACGAGGGCATTCGTAATCGAATTCATTTGCCAGATGTTGTTCTTTTCTGAATTCTGTAACACATGATTTGATGTTGTTTATAGAGACTTTTATGTCAATGAAAAGGACTCTCGATCTCATTGATAAAATAGCCTTGTTCACATTCAAAACTGTGCATATTGAAATCGATTTTGATTTATCGAACAATTTTATTTCAATAATAAAGAATAAAATTATACATTTCTATTTCGTGAGCTAATTCTTATACAATTTTTGCATGTATAGAAGATCGACACAGAAAATACTCAAGTATTTTCAAACGTGATTTGCAACTTGTTACTCGCTATACTTTTCTCTCTAATGGAAAATTTAAAGAAAAAGTATCGATTTGATCGAAAGCCGTGGTCCCGAAAGACTAAATGTGATGCTTCAATCTCATAACATTGAATTGTGTTTGGCCAACGATTGCGGCTCATCGTTCTTCTTCATTATTTTCCTTCTATTCAAGTTGCAACAAGTTACAGGTTGTGAAATAATCGTCTTTACTTGTCCATATATCAACCACTTAGTACGACTATTGCGAAAGTACACAGAGACACAGCAAGAGATTGTTTGATCAAGATTCTTGACTTTCGTCATCCTTACAGGTAATTAACATTGGCGAAGACGGTACATGTGCTCATCCCATCTTTTAAGTCGTAGCCAAGGTATTCATTTTTTTCTTAGATAGATTGGAAAATGTTATTATATGGTCATAGGATG